CTGAGTTACATTTCAAATTTGATGTTTTTTTGTTAAAATAACTGTTTCTTCTTATTTTTTTTTCTGATCAGTTTTGTATATTAGGGTTGTATGCAGTGTTCGAACTATACCGTGGACTTTGGGGGAGCCCACGTTTTGTTTTTTTTATAACGGGGGGGGGGGTTGCGCAAGTCTAGTCAGGCAAGTCACGCTTGCACGTGGGCTTACAATGACTTACAAAGATACATAACAGCTACAAGTATGCACTACTTGCTTTATGCAAGCAATGATATTTTTGCAATTTTACACATAATAATCCACGATGATCACATTACACAAAACTGAAATTGCACGTCAAAATAACACATTGTCAATATTTTTTGAGACCCCCCAAAATTTCACAAATCACGTTTTCAGGGGAGCCCATGTCTGATTAAGGGGAGCCGAGCTCCCCCAGCTCCCCCGTAGTTCGCACCCTGGTTGTATGTTACACCTAATGTTGTTAAATGAATAATTATTGCATTATTTCAGTTTCATGTGTGTTACCATGATGGTGTTTAGTGTTTGTGTGAATGACACTGTGCACCTTCTATATATGTTATTATTTAAAAGCTGTTTGTGATGGGCTTTGGCTCATCATGTGACTCATCACCACCTGCATTTGGTGGTTATCAGTGTATTACAAAGGTACAAAACAGATTTCAGTACTTTAATAGGTTGGCATATTAACATTATATCAGTTAATTAAATTACGGTATTTAACTGTATTTTAAGTTAAAACCATAAAACCTAAAATGTTGCTACCATATTTTTTTACGGTAAAATTCTGGCAACCACAGCTTTTACAAACAAATCTTTTTCACAAATTTTGCGGAATTTTTTTTACAGTGTACATTTTATTATTTTATTTTATTTTATTTACTATATGGAAAATAGCAGCCAGGAAAGTTTGTTATATATATATTGTATTATATATCAGTCTGGTCTTGCATTTTATTTACTATATGGAAAAGAGCAGCCAGGGAAATTTTATATATATATATTGTTATATCAGTCTGGTATTTTATTATTTTATTTTATTCATTAATGGCTCGTTGAGGGGGATATATATATATATATATATATATATATATATTTCTGTTATATTAAAGAAAATTAATTCATAAAAGATTTGAAAAACATTCAGATGAGTTAATAATGACTCAATTTTTATTTTGGGGTTTTATTCTGAAACCAGGAATGATTATCCTCTGTAAAAAAAAAAAAAAAAAAAAAAAATAA